AGCAGGGGTGGGGCTGTGTCACCCCGGCGGGGGGTTGGCTTGGCCGTGCTCGCACGTTGCCACGGCTTCCGGCAGAGTGGTCGTCTGGGGCTCTGTCCGGCCTGCCTCCGACTGAACCTCTGGGCCTGCCCTCACTCGGTGGCATGGATCCCTGTTAGCCCGGTCTGTCCTCCCAAGCGCCCGGCACCGGGGAGTGACCGTCCTCGCCAGCATGCCCGCACGCCCAGGTGCAGAAGGCTGGGCGTTGAGCCTGGAGTCTGGGGCGTGCCCTGAGCCGGGGGTGCTGAGGCTGAAGTTGGCGCCAGCCCCCAGGGCACAGATGTTGCTCAGGCAGTGTCTGGGCACGGCCTACCGCCTGCGAAGCTCCCCCGGCACGGCGGGAACCTTCCTGCTTGCCTTGGCCTCCGCAGCGGGCCTTTGGCGCGTGTGTCCTTCCCGTCCCCGACGGGCCCGTGGTCCCTCCGTTCTTTCAGAAGAGCTGCTGTGCTGCTAGTGTGGCCGGGTAGGAGCTCTGTCATCCCCGAGGCCAGGCGGGGGACAGGTGACTCTGAGGGTCCCCGTCTCAGTAAGGAGGCGTTCGCTCCAGAGAAGCAGGCGGCATCTTCTGGGCCACGTCGTGGGGGACGCGCCGTCTGTGTGGCTTCCACCTGGAGCCCTCCCGCAGGTCAGAGGAGGGAGAGGCCACCCACGTGAGGGAGGGATGCCCCCTTAGACGGAGGCCCGCGGTTGGCTGGACCCGCAGCCTGTCCCGGTGCTGCTCCTCGGCTCTGGCGACCGGTGGGCCGTTTCCGCTCGCACGGTCCCTGGGACCTGGGTTTGCGAGCACACCAGACGTCCCCTTCCACCCTCTCCGGCCATCGCTGGGGCTGTCACTACCCTGACACCTGGCATCTCCAGACGGCCCGACTCTCCTCTGCTCCTGGGTCTCGCGGGCTGTCCCACTGGGGTCCCTGTCTTCATCTCTGATAGTCCTGGGGTCCCTGTCTCCGTCACTGGTACCCCTGTCTTGTGGGCTGTCCCACTGGGGTCCCTGTCTCCGTCTCTGGTACCCCTCTCCCCTGCCCCGCGTCCGGCCGCCCCTGCAGGCTGGGGCATTGGGTGTGCGCCCCCCGCCCTCAGTCCAGGCTCTGTCTAAGTCACCATCTTCATCATGCCCCATCTGGATGCTGCATCCCAGACCCAGCCCCTTCCTCCAGGGTCCCGGGCCCAGAAATCATGCTCTTCCATGGACCCCTGAATTTATCATGGAGCGACCCCCACAAAGGCTATAATTATTTTTTGAAAAGAATTATTTCACTTTATTTGTTTATTTGTTTTTAAATTTAGCCAGAGAAGGAAAGTGCGAGCAGGTGAGAGAGAGGAGCGAGACAGCACGCCGCCAGGTCCGGGCTCGAACTGGTCGGCCGTGTGGGAGCCCAGGCCCTAACCACCACGCCCCCTGCTGGCCCCTGTAATGATGTTTCACTTCACTTTATTTATTTAGTTAGTTAGTTAGTTTGTTCGTTTTAATTTGACCAGAGCGAAACAGAGCCAGTGAGCGGGGGAGAGAAGGAAAGTGAGAAAGCAAGCCACCAGGTGTGGGACTCGAACCACAGTGTGGGTGTGTCGTGTGGGAGTGTCCAGTTCCTTAACTACCACGCCACCTGCCAGCCCCGAATTAATGTTTTAAATCAATCAATAAAAATCACACGTACTCGCTGTGTACCGCAGATTTTTTGGTAACTGACAAAATTGGATACTTCTGCCCGGTGTCCCCACCTGGTTTGCCAGGCACTCGGGTCCCCAGGCCCCTCACTGGCTCTTCCGTACGCTGGAAACCCCCCAGCCACTTTGGCGCACCTGAGGTCTTGGAAATCTCGGGATCGGAACTCTGACCGGGAAGGCTGTCTGGTGTGATTCATCCAGTGTGGCGGGTGCCTTGCGCACAGTGAAGGGACCGGCGGGAGCGCGCTCTGCTCCCCGGGCAACCGGGGCGGGGGGCAGCCAGGGGACAGCCGTGAGCCACCCGGGAGTAGGGGCTGGATGCAGCGGGCGCCCGGAGTCCCGACTCCAGTGTGGCAGTCGGGGCCTTGGAGCAAGTAACTCCTGAGCCAGGACTTAGGGGACGAGGTGTTTTCATCAGCCTGGAAATGAGTTTAGGGGAGAAAGGACAGGTGTGGACCTATGTTGGGGGCTTTCCAGCCAACAGAGCCGGGACCCAGGCTGCGTGCAGTGCGGGTGTTCCTCGGTTCAGGGGTTCTAGGGTGCCCACCACCTTAGTAACAGCCTCTGCGTGTGTGTGTGTGTGTGTGTGTGTGTGCGTGTGTGTGTGCACACGGGGAGGACTCCTAGGGCGTGGAGCCTCGGCATGGATAGCGGGGTGCCGGCTCAGGGGACAGTGATCGTGCACCTGGACCTGCATAGGCAGGGCCCAAGTTCTCGTCTGGGGCCGCCCTCTCTAGGCCAGGTACAAACGTGTGTGCTGACAATCCGGGCGGCCGAGGGTGGGGGGGGATTGTCCTGTGAAGACCCCG